GTCCTGCTTACACAATGGACTGAGCAGGGCCCATTGCTTCTGCAACAGAATCTATGGGGAGTAAGAGAATCAGTAGAGGCATAAGTGACTTGCTGGATTCTGTCCCTGCATAATGGTTAGATTGTTGTGCCTCTATCAGGACCAACTATTGCAATGCAAGGCTTCCTTTTGAGTAACAATTTCCTCTTCTCCATGTTGAGAGAAATACACACCCATTAAAATTAATGGGTCAGTAGGCTTAAGAGGAAGACAACTGCAGATGCAAGCTGTGCATTGAAATACACAAAATCCAAAACAGAAGAGGGAAGTTCCAACCTTACCATGAAATCCATTTGATATTTCATTAAAACCACGACGTCTCCTACTTTTAGAACTATTTTATCTAGAAAACGAATCACCTTCAAACAGCCCAAATCCCACCCCTTCATCATTTGTCATTCTGTGGAATGACTAATCTATTAATTTGTACTGATGTTAGTGTACAAGCTACAAAACTACATCAATTAATGCTCTTATACTAAGTGCAAATTGTTGTGAAGCTGATTTACATATAGCTTCATAACAGACTGCTCATCAGACACAGGACTGGCTATATTTCCACTCTCAAGTAATCAAAATAATTCCAAGCAATGAAGTCTTCTTAACAGCTTGAGAAAATGGAAAGATACACAGGGATATGTTTGGTATGAATTTAGTGTGAATACATCCACTACAGAGAGAATACTGCCTACAATAACAAAATATAAAAATGTGTGATTATTTAGGTTAATAAAGTTGGGATGTAATAATGATTAGACCAATTTACAAGTTAGTTCAATGAAATGTTATTAGGAAAGGGAAACAGACATAATACTAAAAAGTATACAAATGACTTCTGTAAGCTATCACACAGTATAGTACAACAGTTGACATTGGACAAAACATAGCCAAACTTTGTTGCCAGTAAAAAAAAAAGTTAGTTTAGACTCTATATTGAGTCTCAACATCCAGATAGTTATCAGAATGTGTTATTTGAAATTAAGAAGTTGTGACGTTATCCATGCCCAGTTCACAGGAATTGGACACTGAGTGCGTCAAACATTTGTACAACAAATATCAGCTATGCCTCACATTTCTCAACCTCCTTTACAATATTTAAATCAATGAAAGCAGAAAAAGTTTTTCCCTGTTTATTCTCCATATATCTTTAAAATATACAGCAAACAAATTAGGTTTCTGCACAGTCACAATTATGACTGTGTGTGTTTTTGAATCGTTTAAAGTAGTAAGCCTTTCTTGTGAACCAGGTAAAATACACACAATCATGAATATAGAGCTGTGCAAATAGTATGTTTCGGAGCACAGTGGCTGCATCAGAGAAATCACTCATGGTATTCATTTTAATCATATTTAAACTGCAAGCTGCTCACACCTGCATTATCCCTAAGTATTATGGGTGGAGAACAAGCCTTGATGAAGAGTAAGAGTGCCCATACTCTTTATGTTTAAACAGAAGGCATTACTAAACACTATGATATTTAATATTGGACAGTGGTTTACAGTGGCCTTCAGGCAGTTAGGAAATTTGGTGCAACACAAGTCTATCAGTGGCTATTTGTCATATTAACTAAATTGAAAGTTAAGGTTGTGTACTCTTGAATACTCGATGCTGGGGACAAAAAGGGGAGGAATGTTGCTTTTATGCTGTACATGCAAGCTTCAAAGAGCCATTCAGATGGTAATTGATGGACAAACTATTCCTTTAGGTGCTTTTTACATTTTCATAATGTCTTGGAAATGGTCTATCAAAATGGCAGACACTTAAAGCAGTGTCAAAGTAATGCTGAGTGACACTATTTTAAAATTTTATCAAATTTTTGAGTATATACATTTTCTTTCATACAGAAAAAGATTTTCAATTTTTCAAGCATGTTATATTAGCTTTTTTGGTATTTAAATTTCTACATGTCTGTTTCTAGTGAAACTTTCCAATGTATCTTTAAGAAGTTGCAGGTTGCATCCTGACATGCTGCATACAGTAGACAAACTTCCTAAGTTATTTAGACTATTAGCTCCCATGGACACAGTTGACCTGGGTTGGTTTTGGGTAGTGACAGATTGTACCATTTCTAGTCCATGTTTCTTTTTTATGTTTTCATTCAGAACTCCGTCTTATTTCCACATTACTCTATGATTCTTTTTTGTTAAAACATTAGAAAAAATTACATTTGCTGTGAACTGCCTAGAGAGCTTTAACTATTTGGGCAGTATAGATATAAAATAACTTCATTAGTTAAATGTGCATTTTGATATTTTTAAAAACATATTTTCTCTCACAATATGCAAGTTAAACGTATTTCAGTATGTTTTTGAATTGAGAACTGTAGCTGCAATGCTCTGCACTTAACTTCACCTGGGAAACCTACCTGTGCTGCTTTTAGTTCCATAATGGAAGAAGAGTGCTAGTTAAATATAATGAATATATATGTTGTACACACACACACGTTTCCTCCCCTCCCTTTATATAGTAAAAAATCAATAAAAAGATCTAGAATATTTCTATGCTGTTTTCTATTGGTTTCTTAACGTAATTTGAGATTAAACTATAAAATAAAAACAGGTATTGGAGTACTTTATCTGAAAATAAACTCACCTTCTGTTTGTGAAAGGGCTTCCTGAGGGAACAGAGTGGGAGAACAATGTGTCATTCATGCTGGTGACTGGTCTGGGAGGCCTTGAAAAAAGAATATATCATGTGTATGTAATAGGACATCAGCAGAATTTCATCACATTCAAATACTATCACTCTATTTCAGAATCTTTTTTTTTTTTTTGTATGCCAACACTACATTTAAAAAAGTCAAATCTATACTGTTACTTGACTAACAGGATTGAATATTAGAAAAATGTTCTTTTACATACTAAGGTATCCTGTGCATGATTTTCTTGACACATTTTCTTGCTTCAATAAAATAATTAGACTATGTTGTCTTCACAAAGTGCACAGAAATGCTTAATAAAAATACAATAGCAATAGCCTTTTGTCTTCATAGTGTCTGTACATACTGCTGTATTGGTCTAACATTTGCTAATTGCTTTAAAGGAGCACTGTCTTCTTTTTGAAAAACTAAATCTCTGTCTCAGACCATTCAGTTTCTATTGAATCTATGAACTTCCCAGGGCCAATTCAGATAACCATGAAGTGGTCCTTTTAAACCCTACTAACATGGATGCTGCTGCATAGAGAGCCTTTCATATACTACAGGTCATTGCTCAGGATCCTAATTTTCACTGGGTCACAGCAAGTGATCTCTTAAGATTGCAGTTCTATATACCTGGAAATCTCATTGACCTCCACAGAACTCATGTCCAAGTGGACATCATAGGAATGCACTGTTAGCAAGTCTGCCATTTTTCAAATCAAAGAATCTACTTGAGAAAGGACTCACATGAGGAGTTCTACATTGAAAGTACACACACAGTTTCATTCCAGGCAGCCATTATGTGGGTACTAATTAATATGAAACACCAACCCAACAAGGACTATGAAGGGAAAGAACTTACAATAAATCATTTTACTATATTGAACAGAACACTGATGAGGTATCCTCTTGCACAACCAGTTTTCTTCTAGATTTTAAAAGATGTTTTATTTAAGAAGCAATAATGGAAAAAGCAACAATGGAAGTATCACACAGAACTGACGAATACATGTAGTGGTAGCTTTGTTGAAAAAACAATTCTTAACATTCTTCAAGAGAGTGCTGTTCAGGATAACTATTAACAAATATGAGTTGTGCAGCATTTCTTATGTCAGTGAAAACCCTTAGATTCTTTTATTTAGCAAATATGCATGTAAAAAGACCAGGTGTACACTAGAAGAACCTTTATCGGTGAGGGTGTTCAAAGATAGGCTGGACATGCACATTGGTGGGCATGTCGTGAGCAGAGCCGGCTGGAGCCAGGGGTCAGACTAGATGGCCTGGGAGGCCCCTTCTGACTCACTCTGTTTCTATACAGGGTTGCTAGCTCCCAAGGATTATTTTACTCATCCAACTCAAACAAGTCAGGACAACATTTTTGAAATTCAGTTCACAAACTCTGACTGAAGGGGCCATTTCCCACACCACTGAGGCAACATTAAGTTGGGAAGCAACTTTGGCCTTCCATATAAGCTCTCATTAAATGGTAGCAGAAAGTTTGGAATGGGCAGACAGTTCAGCGATTGTTGACTTGGGTACTTATACCAGACTGCATCCAAATCTTGAATGTTTATTTTGTAACAATGTAACATCAAATGCCCCATTCCAGAGGATGCAACTTGCTTGTAAAAACAGATTCCTATACGCAACACAACTCTCAGCCAAAGGTGCATAAGCCCGTTCTGGTAAGGATGTTAACTACTAGACCATGTTGACCCTTTGTATCTGTGTACAGGAAATGCCATCAGGAATAAGTTTGTCACATTCCTTTCTGTCTCTCAAACTAATTGTCCTAGAGCTTGCCATATACACACACTTTTGTTCAAGAGGAGAGCTAGCAGTAAACTCGTCAGAATGTTGCTGGTTCTACTGTATCACTGCTTCTAATTGGCTCCAGCAAATCTCATTGCGTGGAGACACTACAAGACAGATGAAGGCGGGCAACTTTATTTTATTTATTTATCTAAAGCTTTTATATACCATCCCATCATATTACTGATGTCTTGGGATGGTTGCCCACCCCTGCCCCCCATGTTTTGGCCTACAAGTCTCATTATTCCTCACCATGATTGATGGGAGTTCTGGCCCTACTGATGTTTTGGTCTAGAAGCGGCTCTGAATAAGTAGATACAGGGAAATAAAGTTGCATAAACATCCTCATGACAACTTCCCTTCAGTATTCTCCTCATGGTTATAGACTTGCAGCTCAGGCAAGCCTGCCCCCCTCCCCCAATCTCCTGCACTATGTAAAGTGTTCTCATTTCTTTACAGCTTGGCTTTGTATATTCTCAGCAGTTACGAAGGTATCTGAATCTGGATTTCTTTCTCCCTGTACTCTAGGTAATATGATCTTCTAGAGTAGCCTTCCCTACTCTGATACCCTCAAAAGGTGTTGAACTGCAATCCAGGTCTCTGGCTGGGAATGATAAGAGTTGTAGTCCAACACTGCTTGAGGGCATGAGGGTGGAGAAGGATGTTCAATGCTTCTTCAGAAGGGGAAGGAAGAAACACACCATGAAATATGAAATCAGCACATACTACATATGTTCATTGAATCTTAAGAGATTTCCAACCAACTCTGAACCAACATTTCCAGCTGCTTATGTTCACTTATCTAATATTAATAAGGCTTGTTTCCCCACCTCAGAACTATACTAAGGGATAATACCTTACTTACCAAGTATCTCTTTTGCAGCCAAAATGAAATAAAGAAGTGATTAATTAAGATGAAATATTTCTTTTTTTTAATTGACAAAGATAGAAAGATTCCAACTATTGCAATTGATATTCAGACTTACAGTCAATCAGTCATTGATGCCAAATAGCCCTGTTATGAGTTAACACCTCTGGTCATGCATGTACAGTTATTCTTATATAGCCATAAGATAAGAAAAATTAATACATGTTGTTATAATTGATAGTTGACCCTCATATCAAGAAAACTGATCAGCAACCAATTGAGAGGTTGCTAGTCTTCTTTTAAATATTACCCGTCACAATATTCTCTTTGCGCAAATTCTGATGGCTTACCATACAATTTGAAATATACATACGCACACTGATGTTTGTTTGCTACCTATCCAAATTGTTATAGTAAATACTCTTTAAATGCTGCAATTCTCAGATATTAATTAAAACTTTGTAGTGAAGAGCACTGTGTAGCATCTCTGAAAGCTACAGTATTTAGAGTATAACCTAGTGTTTTGTATCTAAAGAAGAATCACTGTTTGTTCCAATAAGCCAGGAGTTCACTGAATGCATTAATATTAATGTACAATGTGTTAAATATAGGAATACAGTTTACCAGGACAATTTATTTTGAAGCCAGAAAGGTAATTGTCCTCTTAGGGTTTATACTAACATATTACATTGATGTAAAACAGAGTTACAATAATGTTGATTGCTTACTGCATTTATTTAAACAAATTTAACATCTAAACATAACATTTAGCACTTTGCACCAGCTTATACTGTTAGGGGCACTTAAATGGTAAATATTATCCTTAAACCTGTGTATAATGCCAATACATGTGCAGACATAGCTCTGCAAAAGGTATTTGTCCTTACTAAAAGTGACTGCTGCAGGGGAAAGAGGACTTTTTTACATAAAGTCTACCATTAAAAGTGGTTATAAATACTCTTTATTTGGACGCTTGCCTAGAGTCATTTCTCATGATACAGTTTATCTTCTATCGCTTTACGAATTAAAACCACTCTAAGAAGATATTCTCAAAATCTTCATGTGGCATATCCCCCTTTCCTAATTTATGCCAGTTGTATTGTATATGATTCTAGTTCCACAACCTGTGCATTTTATTTCTGAACAATTCTATTCAATGTTGCTTTCAATGTATCGATTGGAAAGTGAAAATATAGACTAGTAAATATCATTCCCAGAGACAAGCACTGCTGATCTTATTAAAATGCTAAAAAAGCTTTATTTTCTTTCACTGTTTTCCCCAGCATGTTTTCTTGAACTGAAACACACTAAGGGCACAGTCATATGAAAATTTAGAGAGAGAAAAGACCTAAAACTCCCTGTATGGTCCATTCAGCCCTGGTGGGGCATGCTGGGAGTTCTAGACATTTAGATTATTATATTTGTATCCCACCTTTTTTCCTTCAAGGAGCTCAAGGTGGGATATAAATCCTCCTCCTCCTCTCAATCTTATCTTCACAACAGCCCTGTGAAGTAGGTTGGGCTGAGGGTCTGTGATTGGCCCAGTGCGTCACCCAATGCGTTTTGTGGCTGAGGGGGGACTAGAAACTGGATCTTGCAAATCTCAGTCCAACATTCCAATCACTACACTACTCTGGATCTCAGCTTAACCATAACGTTTTTTCCTATCTGAATTTGCATAGGATGGCATGTTAAGATTGCAATCCTTTGCACAGGATCATTCAACAAGTAAAAATAAATGATACCAGACATCCCACTGAAAACAATTGACTTGAATCAGTCATACATTTCTTTATGATTTTAATGGGATATGATCACAACACACCTCCAAGGGCTGAGGCCATTGACCTCCTTGTAAAGCCATAAGTAGAAAAGATTTTGACACAAGCCTTTTGACTGGGGTAATAAGAGTTTAGCTAATGCGAAGAAGAATTTCATGATTCATTTTAAGAAGTCCCTTCTCTTTCTCACATTTCCCCCCTCATGTGGATATACGTACTACAATGAAAGCGCTTTTTCAGTGCTGGCCCTGTGATGCAGCAGGAAGAGGTTACCTGTTTCAAGTAGCACTGTGGGTATGTTTGAAGGAAGAAGTTTGAATCCAACAGATACTGCTGGTGGAGGAAGTTTCTGCTTCCACTGCAGTCCCCTGGATGCACCCCCAACCTGCCCCAGAGGATCAGGGGCCCTTTAAAGAAGACTGGTTGTGTTTGGAGGGCTTCAGTGCACATTCATCCACCGCAATAATGTATTTAAGCCTAAGCAGGAATAGGTGCTTGAATGGTGCAACAAGACTATAAACTGTTGACCCATGCAGCTAAAAGGGAGGTTTTTGGGCTCTGCCTCATGCAGCAAAATAATTTTGTACTGGCAGTACCCTAATCTGTTTGCAGGTACTAATTTACACAATTATTAATTTCAAGGTTGCATTACACTTAGCATTGTAGCTTACAAGTCTTCTCCTCACAGAATTTTAAATATGCACATTTCCGGGTCTGCTTTATGTATGTAACTGTTGGCTACTTGATGATTTCCACTGAAAGGTTATCAGGACAAATATAAAGACTTACTATACATGAAGGAGTGCCTGAATTCAGAGTTCCAATTAATATACTGTGGCTCTCAGCTATAAATTATAGCAGCCATATCTGATGGCTACATTGACTGGTTCAACTCATTTGAAGAGAAGCACACCGGGAATGCTGAACTATAGTATTCTACTAATTAGTCACAAAATTGTTTGCTTCTGAGTTTGGCTGACTCATTTGACCTATATCAACTCTGCAATACCTTACTTCTGCTTAAGCATACAACCCTATATTTTGTTTTCACTTCTTAGAAATCAGATAAACTAAGGACCAGCATTCAAACTAATTTCTTAGCAGTGTAAATTTAATTTCAAGCTGGAATTCTCAAATAAGATGAGGTTTTGAAAACGCTCTTTGTTAAGATTAAACAAATAGCACAATCCAACCCTTTGGGATAGCTTCTGCTAAATTTTTCATTATCAGCTTTCTTTTATTACTGCAATCCATTGATCAGTTTCATAATGATAGCTCATTTCTTTAGATTGACCTTAGTAATACAGCACACTATTAATATCTTCATGTAGACTAAGTGATTTTCAGTAGTGCAGGCAACCATAGCCAGTCATTATGTAATGTAATATTCCATGCACTTACTACATCATATATGCAATGGCAACACGTGCAAACAGCCACACACAGAAAAAGTTTAGGTGAATGAAGAGCACAACATTAAAAACTGGCCTGATCTGTATCAAGTTATTTACATAATATAAGAAGTGGTAGAAAAGCTGCATATCTGATATGCTGGATTACATTAAAGTTACTGGTACACAGAAAACAGGGCAGTATCCAGTACAGTGGTTGCAGCAATTGTACACCTGCTAAAGCATCCCTGGAAATGAGTGGAAACATTTCTAGAATGAATAGGGCCACGGAAGCACCCTTCTGTGAGCTCCACTGACCTTCCTCATTCCAGAAATGAGGGTTCTCACTTGTTTCTAGTTTCTCTGTGAATCCCTAGCATCTCATTGTACTAGCAACAGATCCCACTAGTGTAAGACAGCATTAGATACTGCTGAGAAACTTTCTAGTCAGGCCTTTGCCCTGCCGTGCTGGGTTTCTATTGAAATGAAATGTTTTGTATGGACACACATACAGTTATGAGAGTCCTCACTTGCTGTGTGAAGCGGTACACCCAGACAAAGGTCCACTATCTGAGTTACCCAAAACACTTTAGTAGGTAAATGGTTTGGATGTTTTTGTATTTTTCACACTTAGGATTTTTTTCCTAATGGACATATGCAGTTGAACTTTTTTACTTTTAGTTCTACATAGTTCTCTTGGACTAGGCTCATGATTTTTCCAGGTTTTCAAGGAAAACTTCCCCAAACTCCCAAACCAGTCTAAGCAATTGGAAAGATGTCACCTGTTTTTGCCAAATTTCCTCATGCTACAAAACCAACTTGATCATCTATGTGCCCACTGAACATGACAAGGTGGATTGTGACAGCTGGCAATTCCCTGACTGATAGAATTCAGAAGAATTTGGAAGCTTGCTTCTTCTCTTGGGGAGTGGGCCTACAAAAACCTCCAAGTCTAAGAAGTTTGCTGATATGTCTAGATCTGAATGCACATGAGGACCACTTGGCAAGCCTAGAGAACCTATACTGCAAACAGATTTAGATTTACTTCCAGGCCCCTTGAAGACTCTCCAGTTCTTGATATTTGTCAGCAAAATAAGGGAGAGGATTCTATAAACAGTAGTAGCCCCTACCCTACTGTGTACCTCTTGCCAGTCTTCTCTAGTGTAGTGTCCTGCAGCTGGTCAGCCATTTGAAAAGTACATAGTTAAGGAAGGTTGTCTGAAGGGTCTTCCATACATCAACTTCTATAGGGACTATATCTTCATGCTGAAGTAAAATAGGGTGTACATCCTAGCAATTTGGAGCAATGCTTTCTGGGGAAGAAAAACAATTCCTATCCATTTTTCCTAACCTACCCATAAACAATCTTAGATTAGAATGGGGATTGCTGCAGTTAGTATCTAGCCTTCCAGTACATAAGATAATGAATACAAAGAACCAGTGTTCTAGAAAGTAGGTATCTGGAGTGCCTCTCTTTTGTCCTGAATACTGTGCACTATATTCTTGCATAGCTCAACAGGGCTCCATAGAGTAGCTAGTAAACTGGCACTGTGGCAGGATGCCTTAATAAGCTTGCATGACCTTTTTATTCCATAATACACTATTTTTAAAGAATAGGCTAATGGGTTAAAATTGTCTGGAGGTTGCTAGGAAGGTGGATCCTCCAACTATTAATTAATTCTCCAATTTGCTAACTAACCCCAGTAACATCAGAAATGTATGACTAGAAGAAACTACCACCAGTTTTCCAAAGAATCAGTTTTTATCAAACTCTAAATGTAAGAGCTTGCCCACTCCTCAACAGTTTTCTTTAAACCATCTAATTGAGTGGTTGTTGCTTTCCCCTTTTATTTTGCCTCCTCTCCCCTCAGCTACTTTTATATTTGGGAATTTGGCCATGTTGTTTTAAAAAGGGAATTCTCACTAAATACATTCCCGTATATAGAACCTAACAGCTGCAAAACTATTGTTTGCATTTTTGTGACTTAGCAGAAACTACTGCATTTTATGATTCATAACTTTAATTCCTGCATGAAGGCACTACCTTTGTACAAACTTGGAGTGTATCTTTTAGACACTCTAAAAGTAAAATAGCCAAAGTGGTTAGAAAGATAATTTAAAATTACTTCCACACTGAACAAATCAAGTTTCTTTCTTTGGCTAAAATCTTATACATGCTTACCTGAAAATATAGCCAACTGAACTCAGCAGGACTTCTGTTTGAGTAGACATGTATAAGATTGTTCTGTTAACTTTTATTACTTTTTAGATATTTAACAGTTTCACCGGTCAGAGAAGAGCTGACTCAAACTCTTGCCTTCTGCTCAATTTAGCACTATTTAAAATAAAATTACAATAATCATTTCAGAATGTGAAACTATGAAGCTTAGCCATTTTAAAAAAAGTCTGCAATTACTTTAAAAATGTGTAACATTTACTTTAACTTTTGCTTGCTCCCCTTTATTTTTCATTACTATATTTCACATCTGGAAAGTTAAATAAGTAGCACTATTTCTTGAGAACTCTCATTAAGCTGTTGATAAATGATCATAATGAAGTCTTTTTGCCCTCAAACCATGACAAATAACAGGTCATTCTAGAACAAAGACTATTCTTTTCAGAACACACAGATACTTACACGATATGAGCCAAGTTTAGAGGTTTTTCTGGCTGGTCAGGGAACATTGGGTGCAAAGGTTCACGACTGGAAGCACAGCTTAAAGACTTGCTAAGTGCATTTGTTAGCTTCTTAGCAGGTGATTTCTGAGAGGAACAAGGAAGGTAAAGGTAATTTGGACAGGTAAGGTTCAAACTTCTGTTGCTGCCACAGAACAATGGGAAGACAAAACAGAGTTCTGCTACTTATTGACATACTTTCCACCCACAAAACCCTACTGTACCACCTTCTGAGTGGCATCAAATGTCAAACAAATCTGTCAAACATCTTTAAATGGGGATTCATCTCACAGAGTCATGTGAGATCTTGCATTTAAGTAGCAAGAGGAGTAGAAGAGAGTACTGAACAACCCAAGGTACACTCCTCCTGCATTCTTCTCTGTAACAATCCCAGTAAAAACATCAATGACAACTGAATAGCTGTTATTTACAAAGTCAGATGTAGGCGTGAAGACAAATCCATGTCCATCATAAAAGTGTTAGGAACAGATGTGTACACATATGTTTAATTCGGAGGCTTGTGAATTGGACTTCATTCAGACACCCTATTATATCCTTTAAACTGTCTGAAATCCATGCCCAAGGAGTGAGAGTTTTGAGGCCATTATTAAGAATTTCCATGGTCCCTAATCCACTGAGTGAACTACTAATTGGCATTGTTAGTTTTGCCATCATAGTTCTTGTTTCTTCAGTCCTTTTCTAGTCCATGTAAATCCAACATCTGAGGCATCAACTGTCATATGCAATACTGTTTGTAGTAAAGCAGTTTCATTTGCATTCAGTTACATCGTTGCACTTAATTATTTCTAATAATGTTGCCAAGACCATCTCAGATTGTGTATTCCAGAGACAAAGTGGCTCCATTTTAGCAAATGACTCTCTCACATAGCCTGATCCACAATATAGTTAACCTGAAGTGTCTGGACATCTGTTTGAAAGTAAGTCTAACCAGTTCAATGCAATTTTATAATAGGAAATATGCATGTATAATCTTAAATCCAATAAATCTGGATTAACTTAGTTTTGACTTGAGCTGGGCTGGCCATACTCTGGAGCACAGATATACTTTGAATATCTTGTGGGAAACTGGGAAAACTCACATATGTTTCAGATGAGAAGAAAACAGTTAATAGTGTTAAATCCTACCTCACAGTGGCAATGCAAAGCATTCTAGAACAGTTAAGAAACTACAGTGGTGGAATATTGTTAAATATATAGCATGTCTACATTGTTGTTGATGCTATACAAACATTTTTAATAAAGGAGCTGAATGGTACATCACTAGGTTCCATTGTTCTTTCTAGACTGAGTCTCCATTTATATGACACAGTTCCTTTTTAAACAGATCTGTTATCACAACAAGCAGAGAATATGAGAAAAAAGCCAACTTATTTGACTATGTCCTACAAAAATGAGCAACTTACTGTGGAAACAGTTTTATATTCCAAGACCCGCCTGTAGCTGTCCTGACATCCAGTAGAGTATTAACATGTTGGACTGCTCAAATCCACACTGAGGAAAGCCACATTGCTCAGTTCTTCCCGTTTTTCACCTCAAAACTGACTGGGAACAGAGACCACAATTGGGTCTTCTCCATTATAGAAATGCTTAACTAACGGGCAACGTAGGTTTCCTATATGAGGTTTTAAGGGAAATAATTCGGTCAAGTCCCAATTCCCATCCTTGGGGTTTTCTCTCTCTGACTGGTGGAGTTCACACAGTCTGCAGCAATTCATGAACCTTCCCTTACCCATGACGTGTATTCTTTCATTTGGTGCTGGTTGCTATGGGAACCACTGGCATGTCCCCTCCAGAAGCAATCTTGACAGAGCTGGTAATTGTGACACTGCTGGCATCGATAGCGGAATCCCATCATGCTCTCACTATGACAGTAGGAACACTCAACAGGGTGGAAGACTACAGGGGAGATACATTTACCAACAAAACAAAGGAAATAATCAATACTGCTTTAAAACTGGAGCCACTAACACATCTTGCAAACTTCCCTTTGTGGGGGGTGATTTTCAGCATCAATTTTAGCATTTACATTGACTGAAATGTAAATGTTAAAGCTTCAGAATGTTCTCCCAAGACATGAAAGCATCAGTCATTGTATAAAAGAAATCTCTTGTAGCATGGTAAGATTGTGACAGTTGGATGATTATTTGAGCATACTGTTTATACCTTGTAGCCTGAGCATATGCAGAGTTAAGTATACCCAAGCTCATTGCAATCACACTGTAGGCTGATGGAAAGATCACACTTTCAAAAGTCAGAAACACAGCAACAGGACAGGGAGTGAATATGCTATATCTTTTATTGGAAAAGATGGAGTTACTGTGCTTCATACTGTTATTAGGTTTTAATTACATACCATTCTCAACATTTGCCAATCGATGCAGAAGTGGTAGCCAGACCAGACATTGTGGTGGAGGATCAGACATAAGTGTATCCAAGAAAGCATTCAGTGTAACTTTTTTCTGTTTTTATGAGCAAAGAAACAACCATTAAATATAATAAATTAAAAGCGGGAATTTACTTTCCTCAGAAGGAAAATGGGTGTGGGTAAAAAAATAAACTGCTAAATTGTATCCTAAATCTTCAGCTTATACAAGAATTATACTGTTTATACACATCAGCTATAAGAATTGGGTTTTACAGACTGGGGGTATTGTTTTAGGGAAGTATAAAATCCATTAGTCCAGTCAGAACTAGAGATTCAACTATGTTGAGTGCCTAAAGCTAAATGGTAAATAACAGGTTCTACACTTACAAGAATATCTCAAGTAGAATAGCTACAAAAAACACTACATCAAAAGGGAAGCTATTGCCAATTAGGAGGAGATAGCTTTAGACTGGATGGATCAATGGCTGACTATAAAACAACTGTAATGTACACATAGGCTCAAAAGCAGAACAAAAAATTATCCTAGGCTACCATTCTGTCATCTCCACTCTAAGAACCATCTCTTGGCACATCATGGCAATATTCCTACTCCCTGCATAAACCATGGAGTTGAATGATCCTTGGCACAACACCTTCTCTGACCTACTTTGCTGTTGTGGGTATAGTATCTGAAAAGAAAGGAGCTCAAGAACAGTGGCTGCTTTGTTCTAACAAGGCTGCCCTCTCCATGATTTAAGTGGTGAGTGCATAGTATTTCAATTCCGTGTAAGGACATTTTTGCATGCTTCAATGTGAAACAAATGATAGATGGTGAAATCAAGGGATAAGGGAGGTGTCCCAAAGGTAGAGATAATTTAGGGCAGTAGTTATGAGCTATAAAGTCTTGAGAAATGCAAACTCCAAGCACTGGCCGTCTCTACACAGATAGCACCATGGAATCCAGAAGGAGTGCTAGGGAGAGGCCCATTAGGGCTAAAGCTCTGAATCTTTCATTCAGAACCCCAAATCTTTGGAGTCATTTCCCCCACCACCCTGCTGTGCATAGGCACTTGCTGAAATATAGGCAGAGTGGCTAGATGTTCTCTGCTGCACCTGAACTCCCCAGGAATATCTGGTGTTTGTCCACATATAGTTCATCTTCTTGCCTTTTGGTACTGTCCATGGGGTTTTCATGGCAAAGATACTGGAGTGGGTTGACATTTCCTTCTCCAGTGGATCACGTTTTGTCAGAGCTCTCTGCTATGACCTGTCTGTCTTGGGTGGCCCTGCATGGCATCTGCTGCTCCTCCCCACTTTGAGTAGTTCTGGTCAGATGATTCTCTGAAATAAAATGCCCTCCTCTTTCCTGTCCAGAATCCCTTTGACAAATAGGGGTGTCCTTAGGAAACACACACCCACAAACTTAACAGCATATATAAATCAGCATATGAAAATTCGTGCATTTTGGGGGTTGTTTAGTGGGCCTGAACCTCAGACCTTTTCAGTACCTAGCATCATTCTTGACTTCAGAATCTGATAATGTCAAAATAACCATTTGTCTTAGTATCTAATTGTGAAATATCTTAAAAACACATTTCCGTGTGGGCAGTGGGCACTGATATATCAGATACTTTGGTTTCATAGCACCAGACTAAATATGATGTGGAAGCATTTTTTCCAAAGTTTTTTCTAAAGTGTTGTTTTTGTTCATTTGTTTTACTAAAAGGTACTGTACAGAGAGGCCAATTTGCCTGGAGTGACAGAGTAGACTAGGAGTGCTGAATTCTTTCCCCATTGTAGTTTTTTTCTGAGCAGAATCTCCCTTCCAGAGCTGTATTTTTCTCCCCCAGAGAAAAGATACAAGGGACCCTGCTACAAGGGCTACTTGCCATTACCCCATAACTCTATTTTAGTTCTTTCTGAAAACACACTGGGAGACTGTTTACATATCTCTTATAGCACATTTGGCTTGGTTCTGAAAAGAAATCCAATATGACTACAGTTCTTTTCTGGTTTGTAATTACAAGCATATCCTGTATGCAATTAAAAAAATTTAAATCAAATGACTACACTAAATTATGGGAAAGATGAAATGGAAGTGAATGATGGATGAATGATGCCTATTTAACTACCTGTTGAGAAAAGCAGGATTTTGCTGACTGCTCTGTGTAACCAAAAGAAGGACCTTCAAAGACTGCAGTGGGCAGTTTAAGGACTTCTCGCAGAAACATGTCATATCGTCCATACACCATTACACCACTGGTGTCTGAAATCATTGAGAATATATCTGATGGAATAAGAAGAAAGAAAAATTGAAATAAATTATTTCATATATTTTATTCAGTTTATATGCTGCCATATTAGCCACAAAGCTCTCTAGGAGCTAACCACAAGAGTTTCAACAGAATATGGATTGGACTGAAAAAAAGAAAAGACTATAGATATTGGCTTATATCCAGTGTAAGCCTCACTTATGTCCAATTTATTTCAATTAGTCTACTCTAAGTAGGACTAACTAGTCCAGATCCTCATCATTTGGTGTGGTAAGAGATAGGTAATACTCAAAGTGGTTAGTAAGCATGAATCTCCCCAGACATCTTTATTATCATTATCATTATTACATTTCTATGCCGCCCCTTGCCGAAGCCTCAGGGCGGCTTACAACACAATAAAATACATTGAAATACAATAGAACATAATAAATTACCACTAAATACAAAAATACAAAAAATACACTGAGAAACAAACATAATAATATAAAATTAAAATTAACAGTATAAAATAAGTAAATAAAGAATATAGGAGGAGAAAAGAGAAGGAAGAAGAAGTTGCCCTGGCCAGATCATATATTTTAACAATTAAAATGATGTTTAAGGCAGGGTATATCCTGGACATAAGTGCCCCAGTATATCCTGGACATGATATAATATTAACCCCAGTCAATATTTCCAATGGGAGAATGTCCAATGCTTTCTTCTAAAAGCACCTGGTGCAACCCAAAATCAATTTTGTACTAAATTTATTTATTTATATATAAATAAACCTTTTGGTATTAAAAGAACAACCTTAACTTATCCAATGAAGGTCTGGTTGTCAATGCAATGGTACCATATGGCACTAGCTGAGGGACATCTGAACTTTATCTATCCTATGCACAACTATGCCAATCTGGGTCTTTGACCAGCACAAGAAAGGGGAGATGAAATTTGAGGTGGGAGAACACATTGGTTGAAAATGGATCTCAGTTTCAAATGCCTGCAATATGATAGAAACAAGACAGAAAAAAGGCCAAATTATGCTTTCTGCTGGACACTCCATGCATCTGACAGCCTATAAAATGATCACTTTAGTAAGAGAACTCTGAAAGGAAACCACATTCTTCTGCCTCCAGATGAGCAGACATCAACAACAATGAGGATTTCCTCTTGCGGCTCTAAGCAAATTATGAATGGGCTTCTGAATGATTATGCCTGCAGATTTTGATTCACACTGCTGTTATCAAAACCAAATGTTGATTCTATTTCCTGTTGAAAACAGCAACATTAATACATTAATGATGCAAAAAGACTTACATCTTAATTTATCCATGATCTTTCCTCCACAAAGTGTTGCCAGGGCCATTTTGATTGCAAATACAGAAATTTTTCCATGTCCTTCCCTATACAGCAAAGGAAAAAAGTAAAATAACATTTTACTCTGTTATTGAATAATATTATGAGCATTCTTAGGCTTACAAATAAAACCTTTGAAACTCCATTCCAAGTATTTTTAAAATATCCATAAAAGTCTGGGTTTAAATACTGCGTGGGAGACAGATGATACCTCCCATAAATGGAAGGACTTCTAACCATGGAAAGCTTCTGCTACAATGCAGGAATCCTCCTGGTGGGATGGGGAGGAGATTATTTTTGTTCATTGCTCTTTTCTGCTGCATTCCTTATAAAATGTGCTTCAGAGGATTAGAATAGTCTGGGAGGTGGTACTGGATGCTGCAGGGGAGTAGGAGATTGGCAATAACAGTTTCTCTCCTTTTCTGTGGATGGTAGCATTTCAAGCAGAACACTACTTGAAACCAGTGGCAGTGCTAGATTTAGATGTTTGAAGGTCCCCTGCCTCAGTAACTCTGTCTCCTCCAAATCATTGTGTCCAGCTGCTACTGCACATCATCTTCTTTCTTATCATCACTACTACTTGTGATATTCATTTGCCCATGTGTGGCAGGTATAGAGCCAATGAACAGGTAAGCAACCACACCTGTTGTTCCTCCTCCTGACCACCACCATTATCTGCCCCAGGTGAACAAGCAGGCTGCAATGATGAAGAGGAGGAGCAAATTCAGAGATTCCTATCAATAGATCCCTGTTGGGGTGCTAGTCTTTGGCAAATGCTCTACCTTGCCCAATCCTGATGCCAGTCCTGACAGTAGTAAAATATGTTGTTTGATCCAGGCAAATGGAAAGTGCTTAAGCCCCACTGATTTCAGTTAATGCGATTTAAGCACACAAAATCAACCAGTTAAACTTCTTAGTTTTAGCAGTGTTGTGCCCTTTGCTTGCACTGAATGTGAAAAGCTTCTAAGATATTTGACTTCAGATATTCCATATATTATTGTTTAAATGATATAACTTAACACATTAAGGAAGAAATCTCTGAATATAATGTTAACTTACAATAGTTATTAACAAAGCTAACACTAACAGAATGGTAACACTGGATGCTTGTTAAGAGAATGGAGAGTGGGCTGTGTAGAGAGAGGTAAGTACTCTTCATTGATTTCCTCCCCCTCCCCCACAGTAGCAATCAGCATCTATTTGCCTCCAACAAACTGTATAGGGGAGACATTAGAGTATTGTTAATAAATGACTACCTGGAAATTAAGGAAAGTGTTTACCTATCTTTACACCTCCTCAAAAACCTCAGTTTTCTTAACTAGCATCCTGTTTGTCATCAGTAAGCCTGTACTCAGAGCATCCTGCAGTTGGAGATATTTTTTGCCTCTGGTGTTCAAAGAGCACTCCGACTAGCTCCAGGAAAAAGGATGGTGGAAGTTTAACAGCCAGATGCTGCACCTGAGCCTGTGGAGTTTCCAGAAAGACTCTCCTGGCCTGACTAGACAAGCCTACCAGGTGCCATTGAAGTAACTTGTTAGTTCTTTAGTTCCAGGATTGCTGATCAATGTCCTGAAATGAACCCTAGTTTGAGAAGCCAGTCAGCCACTTTGACTTCATTGTGCTGGTTAATATAACAGTGGGGTTCCAATGTTTCTGCAGATACCCTCCAGGCATACCCTTGATGCCCTCCAGGCTCTTTGCCTGTCCTGATTAAAAAAAATCTTCTAAAGTTACATTTAGACAAACAATTGTGAGATAGTAGGGAATTACCCAAGGGGAACTAAAGGATGGTGAGAAATGAGGAGAGGTGTATTACTTATGTTGTGTGTATTGTCTATTTTATAAAAATGTGTGTTTGTTATTTTGTAAAAAAAATTGTACAGTCTATTACTTTCACAGCTAGTTGGCTAGCCAAACTTGCTAAGAATTTCCCCAAACATTAGGGTATTATTAAAGCTTGTAAAAGTAATATTTATAAAAATAAATGCATACCTAGAAACCTATTAGAGTAACTGCATCTGAGAGGGTGATTTAGAATAGAAAAACTCTGAGTGAGGAAGTGCTGAAGCACCCCTTTCTGTGCCACTTCCCCATCTGAAATCACCACCCTTCCACATATACATTCTGCTTTTTTCTTTTTTAAATGGCATAGTTCTCTGTAAACCAAAGCTTTCATGTAACATGCAATTCATTCCTTAAGCTCAGCAAGTTGTAAAATGGATGGAAAAAGTCCCAACTCCTCAATTTCACTAATTTTATACTAGTAGATGATATGGGACACTATTTTGCTTTGGCATTTCTACTGACATTTTGCCCCCTCATATTTACAGGTCAAGCATTTATAGCATTGACATTTTTAAATAAGGCATTAGTAAATGGCAATGGAAATATTTACTTACAAATCACAGAAGGAGAGAGAGCACTCTAATACAAATGTAGTAGATTCATTAAATTATTAGAGAATAAACTTTGAAGAGCTGTTTTCCTTACATCCCAATGTGAATGGCTTTTTCCAGAGCTAAATATCTTTGATCAGAGGAAGCATGAAAGGAAAATTTTCTATTTTTGTTTAATGCTGCACTTTGATTTGATAGGTTTGGACACTGTATTTCATCTTAGTAATTTATATTCATACATCTGTACCAAGATTCAGTGTAAATTCAATTTTCCCATGAAAATATATATTGACATAGCTTACAACTGGATGAGATAAATGGGGACCATGGCAGTAAGATGCCCCTAAGGTCTGGCAATTATCCAAGCAGCACTGTTATACAAAGAAGCTCATTTCTATTAATAGTTTCACATCTTCATGTACAAAAATGCTGTTTAAGATCAAGTATTTTGTCTTGTAGAAGTAGAAAATAAAGATGTCCCATTCAGGAATCTTTGGTATGAAGCTATAAAAGGAAAAAATGAACCTTAACAGTCACAAAATAAATGAATAAATCAACTACATTACCTATAGATGGGCAGGGTTTGGGAGAATCTGATTTATATGTTTTGCAGTGAGTCTCTAGTATTCTCTACAAAATGAGCAACACTCAAAGATTCAAAGTGGTTATACAGTCAACAATCATACAACAAATGTAATTACTCTGTTAAATCATACAAAAGACCTTTTTTGTGCAAGCATTCTGTTCCCATAAGCAGGATTTGAGGACAATAGCATTTGTGTTCTTCAGCAACTGGTCTTCAGAGAGGCAAACTGCCTCTGATACTGGAGACAAAACAGCGCCAATGTCAGCATGAAGAGTTGCTGGCACTTTAGCCTCCTTCTGCCCATATGCAGAAAACTGATCAACAACCTTGCTATTCATAATATGGCTACATGAACTTAATCATAAAATATTTGCAGAAAACTCATGCTTAGAACAAATGACAGTACTTCATTGTTCCTAATGAATTGGATGTCATGAACACTCCAGAAGGACTTAAGTGGATAGAGGCTGAAGGACCAAACATCCTCTTATAATTTCCCTTCCCTCCTTAAAAGTGAAGGGATGAAGGTAACTAGCTGTCTCAAGTGCATATGAAACATTAGCTGAGAATCTGAGGCTACATGACATGCCAGCCTGCCTTCCAATATAAGCCATACTAACATGTTTCAACTTGGTGACCAAGTCTCTCCCTTCATCTTTTCTTCTCCCACAGACTTAGACAAGACTTTAGAAGTGCAGCCCTTTTATTAGAGGTTACAGGTTACAAAATAAGATGAATCAAAGTAACCTCTTTGAGATGCAGAGGTATCTGCCCATGTAAAGAGTTGAATCCAATCTGAGACATCCTCTCTTTCCATCCCTTTCAGAAAGATTCTGACTCCTCGCTCTGGGTGGCTGTTGCTGCTTGAGGGCTAGATAGCAGGAATGTTGGAGACTTCTTAATTAGTCTGCTCACTGCCCATAATCTCCTCACTGGGCCAAAGAGCATCTCCTCAATCTCCTCCCCACCCAGTTCTGAAATGTCTCCTTCCTTTTCCAAGGCAGGTTGGTTCTCACTTTGTCGGAGTGTCTTCACTTGGTAACCTTGAAATTGCAAAGTCTTCTGCCAATTCTGCCCTTCTGCCTCCTCCTCAAAATCAGATGAATCCCTCCGAGCAGACTGTAATGTGTGAGAGCCAGGCCCCATCCCTACAGACTATTATGAATCAGGATTCAAAGAAAGTAATAGGAACGATATGGATGCTTTCAAACACTCTTATCAAAGTAAAAACTTGAAAATCTAAGAGTAAGTTTTCACAAAATTGTATTTAGATTGTCTCTTTGAAGCAAACTGATTATTTGCACATGGTAGGCATGTCGTGAGTGGAGCTGGCTGCAGCTTGGGGTCAGATTAGATGGCCTGGGAGGCCACTTCTGACTCATTCTGTCTCTATGTTTCTATTTTATACATGGACAGAAAATATTGTGGTAGCAAATGAAGCATGCATTTATTTGCTTTCATGAGTATTGCTATTGTTTCAAGAAGCAATACTATAGAAACTTGGCACTTTTTATACTTATCTTGCAAGAATGCACTCTGATCCTGTTGCTTATGTACATTTCCCTTCTAGTTCCTATATGCTAACAAAGTTCACTGGAATCAAGCTCAGTTATTTCACTGAGAACAGAGATGTGTGAGCAGCAAAAATGCTCCTTTGCAACTGTTTGGCATGACATGACTTGAGAACAGAAATCCTATTCTGTCATGCTTACAGAACAATTTAGAATGTATTTCAGAGCAAAATTACCCTGGGTTTCCCATTAAAGAGTACAAATATATGCTATCTTGACATGGAATTTCTGTGGCTACTGATGATTTGTGCACTGAGTCATGCAACTAAAAGAAAATACCCTCATCTTTACCACTTAATGAAATGTAATATTTAAGCTGGTGTATATTCTGCACCAAAGGAAAACTCTAAATGTGCTTAGAAAACTCACATTTTGCTAAATTAATTTATATATTCATTTTGTATATTTAATTACTTTTGAGAAGGGAGGAGAGAAGGAAATGAGACAAAGGGGAAGAATGTGAAAATGGGATCACTTAATCACTGAATTAATAAGAGTAAGGTTCAGTAGCTTTGGGGAAGGACAGTGAAGAAATACCACCATACTCTGACCACTGCTTTGGTTAAGCAGTTGCCTATACTATGAGAATTAGCTATGTATTAAAATATATTACAGCTTTTGGAAAGATGTTTGTACATGTTTTTGCCACTCATCTTACATTCTTATCAGGATTATGATAGAAATATATGTTCCTACTACTTTGCTTAGTCATTTGAGGATCATATAAACATGTAATGATGCCATAGTCTCATATATTTATTTATTTATTGCATTTATATACCACCCCGAGAGCCCAGAGGGCTCTCTGGGTGGTTTACAAACATTAAAACCCCAAATACATTGTCTAATCCTAAACAAATAAAATCATATAGCCAATTAGATCTCATGATATCACAAAGCCAGTGCTTCTTGTCCTCACTGTAAAACTAAACATTGCTATTTGATTTGAAAGTTTTCCTTTCTCAATTGAAAACACTCAAAGACATTCCTGTTCCTTTCTGGCTTTCCTGGGATTCTTCATTCATTCTACCTGGCCACATGGTTCTTTGAACCTGATGGTTGGAACGTCTGTTGAATCTCATGTGTTGGCCTTCTGCTTATACATATCTAAGTCCAATTACAAATTCCAACCCTTTGGTTTGAATGGTTGGGACACCTATGATTTATTGTATGCAAAATTAAAGCAGTTGCTCTTCTTGAGAAATCTTTGTTTTTGGATATGCTCTAAGTTCTACATTTCTGGCCAATTAACCAGCCAGCAAATATTTATGTAATAGATACTATGCGTGCTGTTTAATAATTGTGCAATATTAATATACTTCACCCCCTTTTCATTCATTCATCAATGTCATATGCTTTCTGTTCAGTTTTAAAGCCTTGGAATACTGATCTCTAGAAACACACACATATATAGGATGATCTCATTTTTACAGCTATATTTTGCTGGGAGGGAGAGTGGCTTGCTGGCAGTGGGTACCAAAGCGTACCCACTTATAATGCTTTTCTGTGGTAATACTAATAGCAACAGCACACGTGTCCAGGTGTTCACAATTAAGTTTCCTAACTGTTCTTGCTAGAGTCACGAATTCAAGGTCTCCATATATAACAACTTTCTCTCTCCCTTGTTGAGCAACCTTTTCAAAAATCCTGAAGGCCACAGTTTTACCGCCTACTGACAATTTCTCCTTGGAGAGGGTAGAAGAGATGGTTAGATGCAGGCACATTGTGCCTTTGCTGCTTTGTCATGTGGAACGGTTGCCTTCCCCTCCAACCCAGCTGTTACCATGGTGACTAAGCTGTACTAGTTGATCTGGCTTGGCATTGTGTACCTTTCAGAGCCAGAAGTCCATCAAGTGTGTATTGGGGAGGAAGGCAATAGAGGTGGGCAGGCAATTGGAAGCATAAAGAAACTTGATTTAATGATTCTTTAATAGTGCTGATTTCCAACTAGCATACCTCCAAAATATAAACTTGTAACAGAAAATGTGTACTTGTCAAAATATAAAGCTGATCTTAGTCAATCCAGTGCCTAATTTCAGGCTATTCAAATGCTTTTAAGAATGGCAACAAAACGCAGGTGGATCCTACGCTCAATTACCATAATTTGTGCATATACACGGAACACTCATCTATAAAACGACATTAGGGATGTCCCATTAATGTAAATATACATTTGGTTTTTGGTTTTGTACCCAGGCATTGCAATGCGAGGTTTCAGGCAGTGGTAATAGCATGGATATTCTTGCCATTTTCCCACTGGAATCTTACTGTTTCCTATATTAACAGGAAAAAGGGTGAAAATTGCTCACAGCTGCAGAAACTTTCAGCAAAAAGACCTTCCTCCAAACAATAAGCCACTAACCCCATGACACCTAAACACTACTGCAGATGTTTCTGATACCAATAACATATAAATAATGGAATAATTCCATATTTTGAAGTGCCTGCTTAGGCACATATGTGGCTTCATTTCACTCTGTGTGTGTGAGAGAGAGAGACAGACAGAGGGTGACAGAGAACATAATTGGAGAAACAGGAGGGGAATCCTAAATCTTGCTCTAAAGCACTTCCAATGACTCCCCACTAACATATAGTGTTTTGAGTGCCATTTCTCTATATCTGGATATTTGCAGAGGAAAAGCCATTTCAAGTGTAATTTAGATTGAAAAATTAGTGACAAGGGGAAGAGTTAAGCATCACTGCTTCCACTTCTCCAATGTATATTGCTTTTCTGATTTGAAACAGGGCTATCAAGATAAGAATACAGCTGCCTGTAACATCTAGGCTTACATTCCCAATTAAGAGAGTCCTGAGCAACAGCAATAATGTACAAGTTTCACTGTGTAAGCCTGAGGTGAGTATATTACTGAACTTATAATGCTTTTCTGTGGTAATACTAATAGCAACAGCACATGTGATTATTAAAGGCAAACTTACGGATCAAAAGCTGCCAGCAAGAAGTTAAGCAATAGGCTGATGGACTGCTCTACGTTGATCTGGTGGGTTGTTGGCATGCGTTTGTTGAGTTGATAAAAAACGGTGGACAGTACAGCTTCAAGTCGAGCCACATTCAGCTCTATGTTTGGATCCAAGTTGTTCAATGAATTTTCCCGCAGCGCTTCTATTACATTCCAAATATCCACTAGATGCACTGTATAATGAAAAAGCAACTATCAGATGGCTACCCACAGAAGAAATACAAAATTTTTCCACCTTAGGTGACAGTCTTTTTGCATACTATCAAACAGAAACACATAAAAGGCTGTGCAGAATTATAAAACATTGTGTGTGCCAGGGTAGTTGAAATCTTTACAAATACAGGCTAACAATGTTCTGTTAGTTAAAAAAGTTATTGATTTGAGCTTTATGTACTCCATTCATCTTAGAGCCAAATAGTTTCCTCCTGCTCCAGCACAGACTGCTGCTTCCCATTTATCATTTAAAGTCCATGAATTCATCCACTTAGAGTGCAATCCTATGAGGACGTCCATAACCCTCTGAACTCAGAGGATTATGGATGTCCTATGCAAGGCAAGAGGTGTGAGGAGGTGAAGGTTGCCTGCCCTGTAAAGTAGCTGGATAGCCAATTTCGGTTGGAGGAGAAAGGAGGGAGGCTGAGGTGTTACCAGGACAACTCACTTGGCAGCATGTGTCTCCTCTCCTCCCTATCCCCTAAAACCCTTCTCCAAGGCTGCTTTCACAGTCTCAGAAAAGCAGCTGGTATAGTTCTTCCTCACTGGATGTGACAGGGTCAAGAGCACTCTGCGTACAGAGTCACAGCTCTGATGATGGAACTGTTTTCCCATGTTGGAGCTGGGACTCTGAAAAATTCTATGGCTCCCAAGAAGCAGTCTAGGCCCATAGGATTGCTTGAACATGTGGCAAACCTCTGAGATGACTCAAGGCATTTGGTGATTCAGGACTACACCAACAGAAAATCCCTTTGGATCTTCTGCTTTATATTAGAATCCCTTTTCCTCTCTTCCAGAACCTATCAGATTGGGCACAGTAGCCACATCAGAGCCAGTCATGAATTTTCTGAGTGAGGAAAGCTGCTGGGGAAGGGGAGTTCTAGCAGATGAAAGATGGGCAAGGAAGGGGTTAAGCATCCCCTCACTCCTTCATTCCAAGCCTTAATCAAATTGGTTTTCCTTAAAAGAAGTGGCTGTTCGGACTCTGTTAAATGCCTTTGTGTATAACGTGTTCTTTAGCTCTTAGGGCTGTGACCTGTGTGTTGATCCTTATGAAGCAAGGTTCTTATCAAAGCAAGAATTATAGCACTTGCATTCCAATGTTACAACAAACTATAAAGCAAGTATTTATTCATTTGGTATTGTTTTATTAGGTAAAGTCACCTTTAATTTTAACCATTACCCCATCCTAAATAAATTTGTTTCAGTAAAAATTCCACTAATGACGTTCAGGTTTCTATTTTTGTTTTGTCTTTTTTAAATATAGACATTTCAGATTAGAGGCAAGCAAAAGACATCTAGACCATATGAGACTTGATAATCAGAAATACAGAACTGCTCACTAGGATGCAAAATCCCTGGTGATGACACCACCTCATGTTACCAGTTGGAGTCACCAATTTTGTTTCATGACTTCGAAGCAAAAAGACCAGAGACATCATGGGAGATCTTCCTAGGAAGACTGGCCAGATGTGTTACCACCATAGATCCAGTCTTGATGATGAAGCAGTGGCAGCAAGGAAAGATGTAGAAAAGCTGTGGCTTGGAAGATGGAGTTGTCCTCATATCCAGGAACAAGATATGCCACCCATAAAGAAAGCAGCTAAGAGGAGAGGACTGGCATGGATAAAACAGACAGAGAAAACACTCTCTCAATGTCTTTGCATGCTCCATTGTATATCTTCTTGATTGGAGTTCAGGCCTGGAAAGGCACACAGTCTGAGTAGATTGCAGTATTTGCAGAGGGAATCTATCCCAATAAAAATTATTTTAATTTTATTTAGTAAAAAAACATTTCTAGGCCATTGTTCAGAACAGGTGTCCTTCCAAGGTGGCTATTCAAATAACCTTCATATAATAAAACATCCTAGTTCCTTTCTCAGAAGGAAAAAAGCCAAAGAACAAAAAGCCAAACAGATTCAGGCAGAAAGAATCTCACTTGTTGGGATTCAGGCATCTAATCTGGAGAGGATGGAAGAGCAAACAGCAGTTTTCTGCTATGATGTTACTGTTAGTATTTCTGTTACTAATCAGTGCAAAAAGCTAAGCATACAAATTTGCTGTGTATGATGGCTGTGACAGCTGGTTGAGCCAACTTGAGACCTGTTATGTAAGCAACTACAATAAAGAGTCTTTTTAATATAAAACTACTTGCTGGTGTCACCTCTCTCTCACACAGTCAGTCAATCAATAAAAGGGTCCTTTTTTGTCCTCAAAAAATTTGGCAACCTAGATGGGATTACACCTGACTCTGGTCATGGATTTGGCTCTGAAGTAACACAGCATGCATCCTCCTGAAAGAAGCCTTGCCCGGCAGTCAGGACCATGAGCTACTGATAAGGTGTTATCCATGGGGTCAGCTCTTGCTCCCAAAACCTGAATCAAGCAATGTTGCCTACTCCTCAAGTTGGTTGGTAAGAGGTCTCAGTGTTTGTCTGTTCTATGTATCTGCACATGCTGTGCATGTTCTATACATGCACCACATTGTGACTTTAGAATCAACCAAGCAATCTCCAGGGGGATCCATGTGGCAGTTAAACTCAAATGGATGTGAGCCCCTAGGTGCAAAAGTGTAGAAAGCAGGTAAAAGTGCCACAAATAACCTGAGACTGGTTCCTAGATTCAAGATGCAGCTCATGCTGTGAGATAGCATGGTGGGGTCTGGGATCAACTGGTGGATGGGTGTATACCAAGTGGTTGTCAGGCAGGTGGATTAGGCACTAGAAGGAGAATGTCCACAACCACACTGCACGCAGCACAGGTTTGAGTCCTGTGTGTGGCGGGTTCAAGTCCTGCCTACACTGTTCTGCTCAAATGGTGATGCTTGGGTTTGAGTCCCAAAGCAGTCTTTGGGTTACAGTCCCAAATAAATCTCTGGGTTAGAGTTCCATGGCACAAGCTGATTCCCTGGGGAAGGGGAAATAGAAACAGGTTCCCTTTGTCCTAAGATTAAAAGAATTTCAGTAGAGCCATGGCATGCACTAAGTGATTCTTTTCCCTCCTTTTTTCTTGTTGGTGTGTACTAAGGTAGCAATGCTGCAGCAGTCCCTTTCAGGCTGATTTAGGCTAAGAGGACAAGAAAGAGAAAGGAAAAAGAGAGAAGAGAAAAAAGTTTGTTATTCAAATTGTTCATGTGGCTTGTATGCTGTTCAACAAAATGGTGTTAATGGGTGTTAAAAGTGTATCAATCTATGTGTGGGGGTGGTGGCTCACATTACAGAGAGAAGTTGTGGATTCCTCAGGCAAACAGCCGCACCACCTGTCTTGCTAGGCCCATAGGCTGATCAGCGAGCCAGGCTGAAAGCAAGGGTATATGAGATTTTAGCCTCTGAGATGGGAATATGAGTTTCTTGATCTGTTTGTGCAGCTTGCTGAGGTCATTGTCTAAATTCAAGCAAGGCTGAACATGGCTGAAGAAGGCACTTGATCAGGGACAAGAAGAACTGTGAGCAAAGCCTTGAGCTATGAGATACTTGTTCTGGTCCATGCAAGACAGAGCAAGGGATCGGAGTGTGCATGACATCTTTCCTTTCCTGACACCCCACCCACTGTGGTGGACATGAGCCATAACTGGGAAGTAAGGAAATGTGTACCCTGAAGAGTTTTTGTAACACAGGTCCTACTCAAAACTGGACTAGTTTAATAAGGATATCCTGTGTGAAAGTTATGTGAGTGAGTAGATGGATATGGAAAACTAAACAGACTTTCTTTCCAGAATTGGAAACACCAGCTTTTATATGTTTACTAAATTCAAAATCTTGCAATTGTTTGAAACAGTAGAGTCAGCTGCCTCTTGACCTATCTGGCTGATGCTTCCATAAGCAAGAAATTAAAAAATGCTTTGATTGACATAAAACATTGCATTTGCAAATTTTAAAAGAAGCAAAAAAAGAGATGCTAAGAATCTCATATAAGAGTTTCAAGGACTCCCATGAGAAACTCAGGCAACAGCTAAAAGATACAGAGACAAAGGCTTTCTGACACTGTAGATAAATTAGGTGAAATATAAATAGAGCTGGAAAATATCTGAAGAAACTCAAGATGAAGATATACTGGCTTTTTCTAATGCAGTAGAGGGAAAAATGAAAGAACTTATACTCAAAGGTCTATTACAATTTTACACTTGTGTCTGTAAAAAACCGATTCCCTTGTGACTGCTTATGTTAATAAGTTAAAAAGTTCTGAGAACTTAGAGAAGATCCAGAAGAAAGTTTGCAGTGCAGTTAAGAGAAATGGTTGAAGTTTGCACCATATTCATACTTGGGCATGTTTGAATAGGGTGATGGAAGCAGTTGTGTCTGAAAAATGAAAGTTGGTTGTTCATACAGACCAGGTGGCTGGTCCAAGGTCAGGTGTTTTTTGAGTAAACCTAGGGACTGGACATTTATGTATAGTAGACTGACAGAGTGGTGACAGGCTGGAGTTCAAAGAGAAATGCAAAATCAAGTGAGAAAATGGATTATGGTAAGCTATTTGTTCAGACCAAGTCCATCACTAAGTAGTCCCAGAGGTGGTGAAAGGGGGTAAGCTCTGAATGCAGGACTTGCACCTTTCTTGCCAACACAGAGGACTCTCTGCAAGGGAGGTAATGGACTACATCTCCCATTTCTTTCCTTTGTATGTTAGTTTCAGTTTCTTGGACAGGAAGCTGTTTGTCTCTATAGAATACAGAGCAGGACTGAAGGGCAATAGGAATGTTTGCTGCCTGGACAACATTGGGCTGAGGCTGGGACTTTCTGGGTGTTGTGCGTGCTGGTTTAGATGCAGGGCTGGGACTTTTTCCTCAGTGGCTGTCTGTGTTAAAGACTCAGCAGGAGATTCTAAGTCTTTCGAAGTATGTTGCTCCCCAAGATTGCCTGTCATGGTGTGGAGGGTGTAAGGTAGTGGATTTGTCTGGAATGCAAAGAAGGGGGCAGAGCTGTGGAGTGTCTAGGCTGTTCAAGTGCTTCTTGTTTGCTGG